GTTTTCAACAGATTTTGCTCGAAAACGAATTAAACCAATTTAGCCTCGAATGAGACAGGCCACACCCGCTAGGACCTTATATGATCAATCTCGATCGACGTGAGTACTTCCCTAAAGTCCTTGGAAGACACCTCCCTGATCGATATTTCTACTCTAAATCACACGCCGTTGCCAAACGGTAAGAAGCAAAAAGAGGATAGCTCAGAACCCGATCGGACATCGACATGAACGTGGTTCCTCGGTCGTTGGCATCCTGCCTTCGATGCTGGCAATGGGAGTGGCCCAGTCCCGAGGACAGATACGCCTAAGACCGGGCAGATCAGTCTTACTACTGTCAAATACAAATGAGAAAAGTTAAGTCTACCTAATGCGTCTATGCCACTTGTGAGGGTGATTTCGATGTCTCCACCTGTTCTGAAGAAACGAGAATATGAAGGAGAGGGGAGTATAGTGGCGAATGCTTCTTTCAACAAATAAATTCAACTGTCTAGTTAAAAGGTTGCGTTAAACTAAATGCACCAAGCCAAGCGAGTTAAGGGGTAACGAGTTAACGTGGATGACCGATACCGTTTAAATAAACAACCAACAATTCGTATCGGCTGGGTTGCACAAGAATTGACCAGGCACTGGAGTAAAGATAGCCAATAACAGTTTTATGGTTTACATGACTCCAGTATGACCGACCCAGATAATTCAGGTCAACGTCGACCTCAGCTGGGTCAAAAGGTAACACTTTTAGTCTGAAATCAGTTTAGTAGTGAGAGACATGTTTTGCCGCCTGTGATCTGTCGACTCAAATAGAAAGGAAATTAAATTAAAAGGGGACGAAAAGAGAGCAAAAGAGAGGTGTGCCTAGAAGGAGGAGAGCACAGCAAGGTACCTTCTTCCGGCTCGAAACTGTCCCATGACACTGTCACGTGAGGTCTGATCCATTTCACCATGTGCAGCACTGACTGCGAAGCCCTCGTGCGTCAGACGTTCAGCCAACCACTCCACCTTGCGACGCGTATTCACAAAGACGACAGTCTGTGGCACACAGATGCTGGCAAAGATGTCCGCTAGGGCCTCAAACTTCCACTCCTCACCTCCAACGTCGATATAGGATTGGATGATGGAGGAGAGAGTCAGTTCGTCTCTACACAAGTTGGGATGCAGTAAAATAGCGGAGTATTAGAGGATGTTATGACTGAAACTATGCTCACGACCACCATAGGCATTATTTTAAAGGGTAAAAAAAGTTGACTATCAGTCCAGAAAGACACTCGGTTGGCCAGACTGGCAGGTCTACGAGGTAAACTGCTTCAGTACTTCCTGCCTACCATGGTTGGCGAGGGCAGTCAGATTCTGGGGAGGGGGGAGAGAGAGAATATGACAGGAGCAACTTGCACATGATAGGTTTGCGTATAATCGAGCTAACCCAACCCCTTTTTTTCATCAGCAGCGTGTTCAAGTAGCTGGACTAAGCAGAAGGGGCACAGACGAGGCAGTATGTAGTCGCTGACCAGACCGTTCTCAGCATTTAGTCAAAGTGGATAAAGTCGACTGGGGCTGAATTGGTAACAGTTCAAGTTAGGTCACCAAACAGCTTATTTAAATAATCGATTATTTACGCGCGATAATTAAAATGACGCAGTAGTGCTCAATTGACGGTGGGACTGGACGGCAAAATTAATGCCAAGGTACGAGTTTCCTAGTCCGTGTTGAGCGGCATGGCTGGCTGGCTAGTAGCCCTTGTTGGAGCCGGAGCCCCG